TGAACGCGCTGGCGGACGCGCTTCGGGATTGCATGCCTGATGCTGGCCGTCGTCGGCGGTCGTGGCGTGGCCAAGGCATTCCGAGCCCGACAGGTTTGCAGACGTGGGCGAGGAAGCTGACTACGCCAGGAGTTCGTGTGCTCGACGACGAAGGCATGCAGCAGGTCACGGCTGGAGGCGAGATCTGACAAGTTGGTTTTCGGATGGGAAGCGCAGGGCTGGGGGCTAATATCAATGGCTGCATGGGCACAGTCAACTGCGCGGGCTCTACGACGCTGGTCGAGTTCTTGGCGCTTAAGCCTGGTTGCTGCGCGCCGTCGGTGCTGGCGCGCCATTGTCTGGATGAAAAAGTGGCCGCGGTACAGAAGCAAGTGGCAGATGTCGGGTATCGCGGTACTTGAGGGGCTGCTGAAGCTTCTGACGGAGGAGGTTAGCATGGCGGCGTCGCTCTGCTGGCTCGTTCAATCATCATGGTCGTAGAGGCGCCTTTCGTTTCGCTGGCGAAGTTCGACGACGCGCGAGTGGTAGCTGGGCATGTTCACTGGGGCGCCCCCAAGAGCATCGTGATGATCAGCGTGTACTTGCACGCCGTCGAAGGTTGGTCTGATCGCAATTTTGATATTTTAGCCGCGATCCTCAGGTACAGTGCCATGCTCAACGTCGTTGGGATGGATTGGGTTCTCCTGGGCGATTGGAACATCGAACCTTGCGAGTGGCAGCGGGAGTGGCTGGAGTCTGTCAATGGGCACCTGAACAACGTAGATGGATCCGCGCGTGACGCGAGCGATCTCGGGCGAGGCTGGTGCGAGGCGAAACAACTGCGGATTGCATGATCAAAGTGCGCCGCCCCGCAGTGTTCGGAGTGCTGGACGTGGAAGGTCAGGCTGGGGCGCGGCAACTTGTTGGACCGCTCTGTTTTGGCGCTGAGGCGCCGGCGGGGTGCGCGCGTTTCCCGCGGTCGAGAGCCCGGGCAACAAACAGCTGCGATTGTGCAGATGGCCAAGGGTTAGCGCGCACGAACAGCGGCGTGGGATGCCGTACTCATGGGGCTTGAACTTGATTTGGCAGACCGTTGGGATCTCGGAGGTAAGGATCGACAAAAGCATCTTGGACGCGCTGGACCTGTGGGCTTACGGTGGAAGAGGATTTTGAGTGGATGCCGCCACGCAGGAGGACTTACATTGTCGAGACGGCCCATGCATGGAAGGTGGCAGGTCGCCGGTCTGGGCACCTGCAGGCGGCGCAGCTAAGTCTTGGGAAATACTGCGGGCTTCTCTACTCGGCGGCGAAGGCTTGTCCGATTTCAACGGGACAATGTAGGCGTCTTATTGGGCTGGTCAAGGGGGTGGCGCTCTTTCTCAAAGAGGTGGCGAACAGCAGAGAGGTTCTAAACATTTAGACCCGGTCACGGCTAAGACCTTCAAGGATGGGCTGTTGATTTGTTTCGCGCGTCGATTTTTCAAGTTGCCACTGGCAGAGTCCTCGTGCACGGTGCGAATGAGGATGATCAGGCTATGCATTTCTTCGTGGAGCCGTAGCGGCCCCTAATCTTGCGAGGGTACTTGTCAACGCGGAGGTCATCAAGACCATGTTCCAAGCAGAGCCGTGCAATATGGTGGATCGTGGGCTCGCGAAGTGGAGGGGCGTTTGGAAACATCACGTCTACGCGGAGCTCAAGGTGCCAGATTTTCTTCGAAATGGGATCAGTTCCCAATGTGTCAGTCGATTTCCCGAAGCAGGTGATACTCGATTGTCCTTCTCGTACGGCGAAAGGGCAAACTTGGATTGCGCGTAAGGCGTTCTGGCAGGTGAGTGATGTTGGGTTGGAGGTGCTCAGCATGCTATATTCCATATGAGAACTTCTTGGACTCTGGCCCAATGGTAGCTAGGTGCGTTCACCGAATCCTGACGGAGGAAGCAAACTTATTGGATGGGTTTTTTCAGTAGTTAGACTTTGGTCGAGGGCTCGCGGTGTTATTTTGCGGCATTGGCTCAAGCATATGGACCTTCCGTTCGCATTGGGAGAAGGGGGTGCAGGTCGATCGTCGAGCTTCTCAACGCAATCTTACAGCGGAGGTGGCGGTGCTTACTGGTCAGCACTCGATTGCGACGCTTTTGGGCGCGTGGAAGGCTTTCGAGAGCGTGTCGCCGCAGGCGTTGCTACTGCATGCAGTGGAGATGACGTTTCCAGTTCGACTTGCTTGGAGGGTGCTGCGGTGTCGCATGCTGATTGGGATTGTTCGCGCGTGCGCGTCGTTGTAAGATTTGCTGATTGCAGCCGTAGTGCGACGCTCCTCCCTGTGTTAACGGCCAGCGTGCTCAACGAGATGGGGCTCGCTGGAGTGGTTCCACGAGGTCTGGTCGACGACGCTTCGGCGCAGTGCGTCGGTCGCGATGTGGACAAAGTGGCGCAGTTATGGCAGGCGCTTAAGGGCTTCTTGCATGGCGTGCGCGAGTTATGCCTGTTCATTCAATTTGGCAAGTCGGGCTTCGTTTTCGCGGCCCGTGCTGGCGGCGAGGCCTCTTGTGCATCGGCCGAGTTCTGTGCCATGCCTGGGAAGAAGCACGTGCGTAATCTTGGTCATGGCTTGCGCGCGGTAAGCGGTGCGTCGCGCGGTGGCAGGGGGGCGAACAATGCGTTCTCAAAGATCGGCCCCGACGGGTTTTTACCTTCAGGCAGACGGTCGGGCTCGCGATCGCTGCATTTTGGGGGGCGGGGCTTTTGTCGCGCATTTTGACCCAATCTTCGATGCTATCACGGCGCCGTTCCTTGCACTTCATCGGGTGATCAGGAAATCAGGGGCAGAGTCTGGGGCAGATCGAGCGGTCTTGGCAGAACTTGGCGTTGGGCCCGCCAGTTGGTCATCATCTCGAGGTCCTCTTGCGGCGTGCCTTTTGTCGATGAAGCGCATGGGCTGGGAGATCCGCTCGACGACAGCTGTTATTGGTGATAGCGGGGGCAGCAGCTCGCTTTTGAACGCGCCGCCGGTGTTCGTGAAATCATTGTTCGGAGTTGGGTATTCAGCTATGACAGATGAAGCATGCTATGGGGCGCCACCCTGCGGCGGAAGCTAATGCCAGCATCTGGGCCAGATGCTTGCGATTAGGAGTTGGTGCACAGGCAGCGTCAGGTAACTCGCCTGTTGCAGCGGGGGCATTGCGATCGTTGTGGTCGGCTTCTTTGTTGACGCAAGGGTGGCTCTATGGTCGCGGAAAGGTACACGACGCAAAATGCCGCGGCTACAACAAGGAGGGCGAGTACATCGGTCATTGCGTCTCCGAGTGCCTCGCGGTGGTCAGCAACCTCATAGACGGCGAGGACGAGCGCCCCGTGCCAAAGGCACTGGTCAAGTTCAAGAGCGCCGTGCTGTCCCACGGCGTTAGCATGCAGCCACTGGTGGCCTTGGACCCGTTCGGTTTCTCCATTGGGATGCCGCAGATGCCTGCTATCCCAGAGCTTCCTGCGGAGGTTTTGCCAGTTGTCTATTGGGGGCACTGGGGCAAGCGGAGCCAGGGCGAACCAGTTGTGTTATTCCCAGACGGGTCTGCGACGCCATCGGCATTCCCTGAGCTTTGCGGATGCGGCTGTGCAGCGTTGGACATGTCCAAGCACGGGTATCTGTGTCGTGCGATTTTCGGTGGGCTGCCAGGGCGCCAACGAACTATCGGGCTGGCTGAACGACGTGCGGTGTTGCAAGCGGTATCCTGCTACAGCAAGGTGGACATGGTTATCTCTGACCTGCAATCCTTATTCAAAGAAGGCAGCGGCTGGAATGACACCGACGAAGCAGCAGAAGCCGTGCATGCTGGAGTGTGGCGCAATATCCAAACCCAAGTCAGCAAGCGCGAGCAGCGCGCCCCGCAGTTCAAACGGTGTTTATGGAGGTGGTCGAAGGAGGTGGGCCTCCAGGATTAGAGCCTACGTGGGTTCTCGGCAACGGATGGGTGGACTACTTCGCAAGGAGAAGCGCGGAGGTCACCGTCGCAAAAAGCTGCGTGGAGTACGTCCAGCACGTGTTTGACGGGGCGCATGATGGCCAGGTATCGTTGCCGGGGCCCGGCTCGTCTTGTTCAGCAACAGCACGGGGAAAGCGAACGAGCGCAGGCGGTGACGAAGGAGGCATGCCAGCATCTTGCGATCTTGGGTCACATGCTCTACCATCGCGAGGGCCAGAAGATCTGGATATGCCGCAACTGTGGTGTCATGGCCAAGACGCAGACGCACATGGACGCCCACTTCAACATCGACGAGGGCAGGCAGTTCCATATTTATAGACCTGATGTCGTTCAGGCTGCATTGGAGGGAGCTGGTGATGTTCTGGATGCTAACGCGGAGGTGGGGCAGGTATTCAGGACGACAGCTAGCTTGACAATAGGAAAGCGGTGGGCGAGTCGTTCCGACTGCTTGGGCATGTGACGCCGTGGTTGGCTAACGCGGTGACATGTGCCAAGTGTCCTTGCTACTCGGTTAATTTCGATGACGCGATTCTTAGTTTTGAGAAAAGTTGTGACGGGGTTGCCGTGTCGAAGGAGGGCCAGAAGACGCAGGTCAAGAACGTCCGTCGGTTCTTCAACGCGCATGACGACGGACTCCCCTTGGGCGAAGTCTTATGGCATTGACTGGCACCTCGTATTCTCTGGTGGCCAGCAGATCTTTTATCAGCGGCATTGGGATGTCTCGCCATGATCTTGTCTCGTTCAGTGCAGATGGTTCTTGCTTTGATGCAGTGGGTGGCTTCTTCTTACGTGGTGGTATGGGCTGGATATCAGATGTGGCTTCGCCGTGTTCTGAGTTCGGTCGGTTTCTGTGCTCGGCTCGCCGCGCGCGCTCGTCGGTGCGCATTTGGCTCATCGGACCGTCGAGGTACGGTAATGGTGGATGGACATCTGAGGGGCGCGGTCGACCTCGACCGCACCTCCATGAAGGATCAAGGATCAAGCAAGAGGAGGAGGAGGAGGAGGAGGAGGAGGAGAAGGGTCATGAGCAGGAGCAGGAGCAGGCCTCGGGGAGTGCACCGGCTGTCTCGGCCGCGGGGGCCTCATCCTGATGTGCCATGTGAGGCTCGGGAACGCCAGGCTCTCGGGGCGGCTGAATGCCGCAGCGCAAGTCGAGACTCGACCTCCCGCCCCCGTTTCCCAGCTCCTCCTCCGACATCCTGGCGACGGAAGGTTTTTCCCGTATCCTAAGAGCGGGTTCTTGTTATTACTGGGACGCCTGTGCCTCGCGCGCCTCGCTCTATCGTTCACGCCCGCCTCTCTCTCGCGCACTCATGCTGAGACTCATCGTACTCATACTCGGACCCACTCATAGTTTTCATACCCGCTCGCGTACATACTCACTCGCACTCACATCATGCATAATCACTCGTATTCAGACCTACCCAACCCATACCCAGACTCACTCACATTACGACGCGCTCACACGCAAATCGTTCACACACATACCCATTCTCTCTCCGACTCACTCGTACTCAGATTCGCAGGTTGTGAGGATGTCTCAGGCGGGGCAGTAGCTTCAGCACCCCACGGGGAGCCGCCAGCGGTGGCTGCACGTGCCCATTCGCGCCCACATGATGGGGATGTCTCGGGCGTTTTTTTGGGGGGGGGTCTCGCAGGCTCTTTCGCTGTCGGAACATATGTTTAGGACGTCTCAGGCGAAGCGTTGGTTTCAGCATCCCATGGACCCCAAGGAATAACCGCCAATAATGGTTGCACGGGCCCGTTCGTGCCCAGGTTGCGGGGATGTGCCAAGCGGTTTGCCTGTTTCGTCCCCCCAGGCTCCTCTGTTTTCAGAGCAGATCGCGAGGACGTCTAAAGTCATCACCCCAACGGGAACCGCCAGCGGTGGTTGCACGTGCCCATTCGCGCCCAGATTATGCGGATGTCTCGGGTGGTTTGCCTGTTTTGGCTCACGGGCTCCTTCGCGTTCAGGGCAAATCTTGCGGATGTCTCAGGCGGGGCGCTGGTTTCAGCATCCCAAGGGGGAGCCGCCAGGGGTGGTTGTACAGGCCCGTTCGCGCTCAGGTTGCGGGCCTTTTTCGTCCCCCCCAGGCCCTTGTGCTTTCAAAACAAATTGTGTAAGGATGTCTCGGGCGAGGCGCTGGTTTCAGCCGCCAGGGGTGGTTGCACGGGCCCGTCTTGCGCAGTTTGCCCCCCTTTCCCCCCTTGGCTTCTTTGCTGTGCGGGCAGATCGCGAGGATGGCGAGGTTTAAGTCGGGCGCGTCCCTCTAAGGAGGAATATTCAAACAGAGTGCACCAATAGTCAGGGGACGACTGGTTTGAGGTTTGTTTTGACTATTATTGAATATGTTTTGAATATCCGTAAGGGTTTCGCCCCCTGCCGCCGGCCCCCTCTCTCGGAGAATGGGCCATGGAAGAGCTAAGTCATGAGGCTTTGGCGCTGTCGCGCAGCAGTATCGGAACTTCATGCGAGGCCGATTCGCAATCGGCAAAACCAACTGATCACAAGAGGGGTTACCACACAGGGCGATTGGTAAGACGTGTATGGTTTACGAGCTTGGTTACCACACCTTGGGATTAAAGGGCCGAGGGAGTACTCGCAGTTTGGGTTACCACGCCTTGCGATGGATGTCCGTGAGGGGTGGCACCGAATTTCAGAAATGTGGCAAATCCCATGTGTTTTTGGACCCTGACCCCGCGGATCTGCGTGAGGGGTGGCACCGAATTTCAGAAATGTGGCAAATCCCATGTGTTTTTGGACCCTGACCCCGCGGATCTGCGTGAGGGGTGGCACCGAATTTCAGAAATGTGGCAAATCCCTGTGTTTTTGGACCCTGACCCCGCGGATCTGCGTGAGGGGTGGCACCGAATTTCAGAAATGTGGCAAATCCCATGTGTTTTTGGACCCTGACCCCGCGGATCTGCGTGAGGGGTGGCACCGAATTTCAGAAATGTGGCAAATCCCATGTGTTTTTGGACCCTGACCCCGCGGATCTGCGTGAGGGGTGGCACCGAATTTCAGAAATGTGGCAAATCCCATGTGTTTTTGGACCCTGACCCCGCGGATCTGCGTGAGGGGTGGCACCGAATTTCAGAAATGTGGCAAATCCCATGTGTTTTTGGACCCTGACCCCGCGGATCTGCGTGAGGGGTGGCACCGAATTTCAGAAATGTGGCAAATCCCCTGTGTTTTTGGACCCTGACCCCGCGGATCTGCGTGAGGGGTGGCACCGAATTTCAGAAATGTGGCAAATCCCATGTGTTTTTGGACCCTGACCCCGCGGATCTGCGTGAGGGGTGGCACCGAATTTCAGAAATGTGGCAAATCCCTTGTGTTTTTGGACCCTGACCCCGCGGATCTGCGTGAGGGGTGTCGATTTCGAGCCCCCCCAGCAATTCAGACAACGCGCCCAGGGGGTGCTAAAAAATCCTATTTGGGCCTCCCCCCCCCCTCGCGCGGTCAATCAACTAGTTACAGTAACCAGCAAGAAGCATAACTGTAACACTGGAAACTACAAGCTACAACTGGTACTGGAAACTGCGAACCCGCGCCTACAGCCTGGTGGCCCCACAAGGGGGCCGGCGGATTTTGATTTGTCGTCCAGAATCCCCCTGTAGGAGGACATGCCCGACCTAAGGCAAGACGCTGGCTCCAGCATTCCAGGAGGGATCCCGTTGGCAGTGACTGCACACGGGCCCGTTTGCTCGCCCAGGCTGTGGGGGCTGTTTCGGGTGGTCTTCCTGTTTCGCGCCCCCTCCCCAACATTTTTTTTCAGACCTCCTCCCTCCCTCTCCTCATTCTCCTCCTCCTCCTCCTCCTCCTCCTCCGTGAGGGTGTCTCAGGCGAGGCGCCAGTTCCACAATCCCAAGGGGAAGCCGCCAGCGGCCAGTTCGCGCCCAGATGGTGGGGAGGTCTCAGGCGGTTTGCTGTCTTTGCCCCCGCCCCCCCCATGCTCCTCTGCTTTCAGAGCAGATTGTGAGGAGGCCTCGATCGAGGCGCTGGCTGTAGCATCGCAAGGTGGAGTTGCCATGGGGTATGACACTCACCCGTTGGTGACCATATTGCGGGGATGTCTCGAGCGAAGCACTTGTATTGTACCTCCAACTCCTGTCCATTCAGAGCCCCAGGATCACCTCGATGTAAGTAGAAGCAGGGAGGAGGGAGGGTGGAGGAGGAACGAGGAGGGCGCAGGAGGAGGGACGATGGAGGATTGATGAAGAGAACGGGGCTACGGCGAGTAGGAATAGGAGGGAGAGGGCAGGGTGGCGCAGAGGAGGGTGGCACCTGCGAGGTAGGAGGGAGGAGGGACGGCGGAGGGAAGAGGACATTGAGGAGGAGGGGGGAGGCCGCGCGAGGAGGGAGAAGGACGGCCGCCAGGGAGGAGGGAGAAGGGAGGAGGAAGGAGGAGCACGCAGGACGGGAGAAGGGAGGAGGGAGGACGAGAAGGTGGGGCTACGACGAGTAGGACAAGGAAGGAGAGATGAGGGGGCCGCTGGGGAGGGGGCACTTGCCAGGGAGGAGGAGGGAGGACGGCGGAAGAGAGAGGACAAGAAGGAGGAACGAGGAGGACGCGCGAAGAGGGAGGAAGACGGCCGCCAGGGAGGAGGAGGGAGGACGGAGGAGGAAGGAGAAGGACGCAGGATAAGAGAGAAGGGAGGATGGAGGAAGAGACGGGAGGGGCTACGGCGAGTAGGAAGTGTAAGCTCCCTGGCGGGGCACTTGCCAGCGAGGAGGGAGGACGGCGGATGAGAGGAGGATGAGACATGATCTACTATGACGAGGAAGGCGAGGAAGGAAAAGGGAACGGCCTGCGCACCGCCTGCCTGCCTGTGAGTTGTTGTTGTTGTTGTCGTGGTCGGTGTTGTCCCTCATAGCCGCCGCCGCCGCCGCCGCCGCCGTCGTCGTCGTCGTCGTCGTCGTCGTCGTGCCCGTCGTCCACTCGGAGTCGCTCTTACACCCAAGCGCTCACAGCCAGACACTCACAGCGGGACGTGCCAGGAAGTGAGATGCTCATATGGGGATGTCCGCGTCGAGTACTACCATTTTTTCAGCCTCTGGACGTTCTCACCGGGCCCCAGGACCGTCAACAAACGACTCGCGATGCGAGGGGAGCCCCCAGGAACTTCAGGCCTCGGGGAGCCACTTTCTAAGAAAATTTCACGATCTCGGATGTCGGGTTCTGTTTCCAAGGGTGTCCGCGGTTTGGTCTGTTCGGCTGAGTCCCAGTCGGTTGCGTTCGGCCAGGTCGATTCGGCCGGTGGTTGTGTCGCTGCTGCGTCGCTGGGCCCTTCTGTGCCGCTTGGGGCCTGTCGGTTTCCGTCCGTCTCGGTTTCGCTGTCGATTCAGTTGGATCTCGGTTGTATGCTGTCGCCGTGGTAATGGACGCCTGTGGTCCCCTCCTCCTTCTCCTCCTCCACCACTGCGATGTCCCAAGAACTCGACGTCGTGGTTTTTTTTCCAACGTGGACCCCCAGAGGGCGAGACTAGTCAGAAGCCGCCTGCCGGGACTTCCTTACATCGAGCGGAGGTGGTGGTCTGGCCGCCCCCAGGCCCGAGAGGGCCGCGAACGCGAGCCTCTCCGGGTACAACCGCAACAGCCTGTGGGCGTGCCTGACCTTCCAGACGGGCGCGTACGACTCGGTGGTGGGCGTTGAGGCCCGCGGGGCGCGCGCGCGGGGGAGGGAGCACGCGCGCGCTCGGGCTGTGCCGACGCGGCTGCGGCCCCAGCTCGGGGAAACGTAAGACCCGAGTGAGCCGAAACCCTGGTCTACCGTCGTTTTTTGGCGAGCGCGTCCTGGATTTTGACGGTCCAGTCTGCGTGGGATGTTTGCAGCGGGAGCTCGCGTCAAATTTCAGATTGGGCCTCGTCATTTTTTTAAAGGCCCCGTCAGGTCAACCCGAGTCCCCCGTACCCGAGTCTTTGCGTCTCCCCGACCAGCGCGGGCGTGCAGGGTGGAGCGCCGCAGGTTGCCCGGGGTCGGCCAGAACGAAGCGATCTGGTGATCGGAAGGGCGCCGAGTTGCTGTTGCCGCCACTGGCAGGGGAGGACGATTTGCTCGGGGACGATCTTTCCGTTTTTTTTTGGCTATTGGTTTATTATTTCATTGAACGCCCCTGAGGGGGCAGACACCGCCGCCCCACTTTTTTTTTTGGAACGCGGAGGTTGCGTGGGGGGCAAATCGGGATGTAGCGGGGGTGTTCACTCAGCTTTGGCTGGGTTTTTGTTAAGTGGGGTCTTAGACAGCCCCAAGAGAGCCGGAACATGACCTAAGAAAGACGCCAGATTGGACAATAAGGTCTCAGAGGGCCTGGACAAATACGAAAGTTTGATCTTAAAGGCTTTCAGAAAGCCCCAAGAGAGCTGGATCATGACTTAAAAAGACGCCAGAAAGCCGTAAGAGAGTCTGAAAATGATTAAAAAAAGGACACCTGAAGGTGTTCAAGAGTGTGGACGAAAGGAAGAGGCATACGGAGAGGCGTACAAACGAGATCCGAGTTAGTTTGGGGGCCTCAAAAGGGAGTCCGGGGACCCCCTGGGCGTGCCCAGGACGGCCCAAGAAAACCCCCCAAATGCTGCCAGACGACCCAGGCCGGGGTCGGGAGGCGTGGAGGACAGCCGCAGAGAGCGCCCGCTGATTCCAACGTGCTTCCAAGAGCCCGCGAAAACGCACGTGAGCTCGAAACGAGGCATGAATAGAGGCTCGACAAGGCCAGAATGGACATATTCATATGTGTTTTAGTAGGTTTTTTGCGTGTTGTTTTTTTGTAGTCGAAGTGGGTCGAGGAGAGGTGGGCGGGTTGCCAGACTGGACCAAAATGGCCTGGAGGACGGCCAAGATCGCCCCAGGAGAGCGCCTGGAGGCTTCCAAATTCGAGTCAGTGAGCTCCCGGAGAGGCCACTGAGAGAGGCCGGGCGGCCGGCGGCGCCTTGAAGACGAACATTTCCAACGAGGTGTGTTCTGAAGCGAAAATGATGGCCAAAGAGCGCTCATTCCGCAGCTGTGGGCCCCGGGCCGGCGGATGGAGCAGGCCGCGGGGAGGGCCCCAGGAGGGGTTGCAAGGGCTCTGCGGAATGGGTATTGGTACGAGGTGTTCGTGCGCGCAGATTGAGGGAATTGAGTTCGTGCAGACCATGCGGCGGGGATCTCGCGCGCCGTTTCCGGTGGGGCGGCGGATCGCTTCGCTCATTTCCCCGGCCCTGGTGCGCTATTTGGGGCTTCTTGGGGGCTTATTGGGGGCTTCTTGGGGGCGTTTTGGGGCTCCCTGGCGGCGCAGTGGGCTCCCCTGGGGCCTCCTGGGGGGCTCTTGGGGGCCCCATTGGAGCGGGGAGGGGGGGTAGTCGATTGCAGCCCCCCCCCCCCCTCAGGGGCCACGATCCTTGTGAGGGGTGGCGAAAAAGAGCCTCCCCCCTGGGGATCGCCCGGGACCAAGCCGGGGATCGGCATGGGTATTTTCCGCCCTGGGCCCCCGAGGGGCCGCCCCGCGCGCGCGCGAACTAGAAATATTGTCAAGTAGATGCCAGAGACCTTGGCACGCCACTGGCCCGTTGGGCCGGCGAATTTGATTATTTCAAACTGTTCGTTCAAAATCCGCCTGTAGGAAGAAATGCCCGACCAGAGGGCGCCGACGGTTCAATGCTGTACGGTCCACGCAAGGCCGGGAGGCACCGCCAGAGCCGTCGCGTCACGGACCTGCCGTAGAGGAGGGGAGGGGCGGGGGGCCGCGGCGAGGGGGGGGGGAGGGTGACGAGCGGCACAGTGAGGAGGACCAGTGACAATATTAGGATGATGAGGAGGAGTACCAGCAGGATCATGCAGAAGGAAGAGCGGGATCATGAGCGGCGGGAAGAGGGGGATGAGGAAAAGGAGGAGCAGGATGGGGAGCAGGAGGAGGTGGGCTTGAGGAAGACTTGAAGTAATATTGCTTGGGGCGCCTTAGCCCCGTTGCGGGCCCAGTTTTGTGGAATCACCACCCTGTAGGGCACGGTGGCCCGATGGTGCGAATGTCCTGGGGCTGTGGTCCAGACCACGCAGAACGAAGAAGGTTCCAAGAGGGCCCCCTAGGGCGGTCCCAGGAATACCCACAAGGAAGTCAACATCGTACGTCGGTTCTTCTGTTGGAACCTGCCAGGGCTGCAGGAAGTCTTCCACAGGGTTCCAAGAAACCTCAAGTCGATCACAAAATGGCCCATACGGCAGATCTACAGCGCAAGTCAGATGTTCATCGTTGGGAAAATGCCATTCCTTGGTAGTCAGGACCGTTCAATCCAGGGGATGTGCTCCCCTGGTTTTTGTGAAGTGCGATTGGTGCAGCTAGACCTTGGTGCACAGCGAGCCCACCAGGGGATTCTTTGATCCAGTATGGGCGTGATTCGCGCGCCCGAATCCCACAGTTGCGGCAAGGTAGAACAGAAAGTGCGAGTTACAGCTGAGAGCTATACAGTTTTGTTGTTATACCCAAGGCAGGGACTTGTGGGTAGGCTCTCTCACCGGCCATGAGGCCGGGACAGATTTACCGAGGGAAGTGGAAAGGTCATGCATTGAGCGACGAAAGCGGTGCGGAATTCGGTGCCGCGCCAACCTTCCGCGGATGGGCTGGCATGCATCCCCCAGAATACACGTGCATGGGCTTGCGCAGAGAGATAACGAATGGGCAGGCACGCCCGAACGCAGTCTTGCGAATGAGGCCAACATTCCGCTTTCTGGCGGCCATCGAGGGTCCGTGAAGGACGGAGTATGGCAATGTTGCGCCCCCACCAGGAAATGTGTCAATTCGCCCCCCAGGATGGAGGAGGCAGAAGAGGGGGACGAGGAGAAGGTGGAGATGCTGATTGTGATGATGATGATGCTGATGATGATGATGGTGCTGATGCTGCTGATGATGATGATGATTATGATACTGATGATGTTGATGATGCTGTTGCTGATGATGATGCTGGTGCTGATGCTGATGCTGATGACGATTATGATGATGCTGCTGATGATGATGCTGATTATGATGCGGCTTATGCTGATTATGTTGATGGTGCTGATGATGATGATGATGATCCTGATGATGATCATGATGATGCTGATGATGCTGATTATGATGATGATGATGATGATGATGATGATGATGATGATTCTGATGATGATTCTGATGATGATAATGATGATGATGATGATGATGATGATGATGATGATGATGATGTTGACGCTGTTGATGATGATGAAAGGACGATGCCGATTCTGACGATGATGCTGCTGCTGATGATGATGATGCTGATGCTGACGCTGATGATGATGTTGATGATTATTATAACGAGGATAATGCTGCAGCCTGATGATGATGATGAGGAGGAGGATTCTGCTGATGATGATTGATAATAAGGAGGTGGAAGACGAGGTGGAGGACGAGGAGGAGAAGGTAGACGAGACGGCACGGGAGGCAGACGTTGGAGGAGGAACGGGCAGGAGGAAGAGGCATGAGGGGGAGAAGGAGGAGGAGGACAACGACGAGAAGGTGGATGATGATGAGGATGATGATGATGATGATGATGATGATGATGATGATGATGATGGTGATGATGATGATGATGATGATGATGATGATGCTGATGATGATGATGATGATGATGATGATGGTGGTGGTGGTGGTGGTGGTAATGGTGATGATGATGGTGGCGGTGGTGATGATGCTGATGATGATGATGCTGATGATGCTGCTGCTGATGATGCTGATGATGACGATGATGAGGATGATGCTGATGATGATACTGCGACGATGGTGATGATGCTGATGATGATGCTGATAATATGGATGATGACGTTGATTATGTTGACGATGCTGATGAGGCTGACGATGATGGTGCTGCTGCTGATGATGATGATGGCAATGCTGCTGATGATGATGATGATGATGATGATCCTGATGCTGATGGCGAGGTTTTTTTAGATGATGTTGATGATGGTGCTGCTGCTGCTGATGATGATGAGATTTCTGATGATGATGGTGCTGCTGATGCTGAAGATGATGATGATGCTGCTGATGATGATGCTGCCGCGGATGACGATGCTGCTGATGATGATGCTGCTGATGATGGTGATGATGATGATGTTGTTGATGATGATACTACTGCTGATGATGATGTTGATGAGGAGGAGGAGGATGCACAGGACAGACATGGGAGGAGGACAGGACAGAGGACGGAGGCATGATGATGAGGAGGAGGAGGAGGAGGAGGAGTAGGAGAAGGAGGACGACGACGCCGGTGACGACGACGAATACGATGTGATGATGCTGATGTTGATGATGATGCTGATGCTGATGATACTGATGATGATGCTGATGATGATGATGATCATGATGATGATGATGATGCTGATGATGATAATGATGATGATGATGATGATAATGATGATGGTGATGATGATGATGATGATGATGAGATGATGATGAGGATGAGGATGAGGATGAGGATGACGTTTATGATGATTGTTGCTGGGGAGGAGGAAGAAGTGAAGGAGGAGAAGGTAGAGGAGACGGGACGGGAGGCAGACGTTGGAGGAGGAGCGGGCAGGAAAGGGAGGCATGCGGAGGGGGAGGAGGAGGGGGAGGAGGACGACGACGACGAGAAGGAGGAGGATGATAATGATGCTGGTGGTCATGATGCTGATGATGCTGATGAGGATGCTGCTGATGATAATGATGATGAGGATGACGATGATGGTGATGATTCTGCTGATGATGCTGATGACGATGATGATGACGATGATAATG